ACTCCTTAAACTGTTTGGCATAACCAGTAATATTGTCGTTCACTCAAATCATAGCTCCTTCCGCAAAATCACTCCTGAAGTGTGCATCTGTTGGGTGTTCACAGAGCCCATATTTATCAAGGATTATGAAATGTATGTTGTCAGATGCTACAAAAAAGCTATGAGACCTGTCATCCTTTGTGCACCAAATGTGGTACTAAATAACCTTCAGCAAATACAGCAGTGGCAGGCAGGGTCACAGGAGTAGAGATTATACCTTCTGATTATCTCTCTTCACAGAGTATAAAAAATTTAAACTGTTACACAGAGATTAAAGACAGATCTTAGTTTCATTCTGTGAAAGCAAAATTCTCATACTCTGTGCCAGAAGATGCCTTTGAGATAGATATATAGATATATAGATATATATATACTGGCATGAACTAAAAAGACTTAGTAATACAACTTCAAACAGAAGGTGGGATTTTAAACTTACAGAAGGTACAAAATGCAAAGCTACAATTCTGCAGTTCCTATGGGCTCACTCCTGCAAGGTTCTGTACTGTGGTTATGCTCCAATAAGGAAGTGAAACATGACAGCAATCTCACTAATTTCAAAGCATATACTCATGCAATTTAATTTAAGCAACTTGCTTAAGCACTGCACTTATTCAAAAGATCATCAAGCACTTCGCAGATCCAGGACCCTTATGGGTAAGGAGAGCATCAGTCATGTAGTGTTAAGGTCAAAAAATTTTCCATACAAACTACACATGCAATCATTTAGAACTTTCTGGTATTACCAGATTTAGTGAGTATCTCTACAAGTGCTCAGTTATTTGGAAAAGATAATGTGGCCACTTGGGGATACAAGAAATGGTTAAAAAAAGAAGAAAAATTAATCAAAACTCCTTTCTACTGCTTACATTCTAAGAAAGTTTAGAGGAAAAATTAAAATGTTTTCCATTAAAAGTAAGAAGTGGGAATTTAGGAAACTAAGATAGTTCTGAAAACAGACTTCAGAAAAATCACTTGCTGTTCACATAAAACCTGTCTGACAGTGTTTTGACACATATCATCAGAGGTGGAGATTTTGCATCACTTTGCACAAACTCCAGCTAAAGTAGCTGTATAATAAAGGCTCACATATTGAGAGAAAATGCCTGAAAACTGTCTGAAAGATGAGCAGAACAGAAACTGCTCTGAGGCATCATATCAACCTTACTGCCAGAGATGCACTTGCCCGATTTCATTTCTGCACCTCAGCTGCTGCTGAAGTTCAAAGCTAAGAAGGCCTCCTTCCCACAGAACTGCCAAGAGAAGAAGACAAGCTGAAGGTGATACAGCTCCGTTCTCCTCCCTGAGTATTAGAGCTACCTACGGTACTGCCTGTCACCTGTCAGGGGGCAGGGAACAACCGAGCAGCTCCCTTTCATCACTGTGGCAGCAAATATCAAGAGAGAAAACATATTAGCTTTCTTAATTTTCTGTTAAAATAAGGTTGTGTTTAACTGCTTCACACTCTGCACCATTCCTAAAAACTGTGTTGAGAAAGTTCTTCTCCTTAAAATCCTAGTTCATTTTTAAGTACCAAGACAATGTGAGAATATAATGTTTCCTTGTTCAGCTATTCTAGAATACAAACATTGAACTCTGAAGAAATGATACATAATGATTAATGGTAACACGTCCTGGAAGGCAAATCACTTCAGCATCCACCCCATCCCCTCCTTTGAGATAGAAAGACTGGAACAAAAGAAAGCCCCAGGAAAGCCCCTCTGAGAAAACTTGGCTGGAGTTTTCACATTTTAAGTGATTTAGCAACGAAACTAAATCCCAGAAAAGAGCTAAAAATCGGATCACAACTGTATATGTGTTCTTGAAACAGGCCAGGAATTTTGAACTAAGTTGTGAGCAAACCTGGCAAGATTAATGACTGAAAACAAAATATTAACCAGGTGGTTGTTGCTGAAGTTACTGATACATGTAACTCACATCAAGCAGTTTTAAAGTGTGTCTCAAAATTTGTAAACACATTGTAAGATGGGAACAGAACTGTAAGGCTCATGCTTTTGAAATCACAACTCATCCAGGAGAAACTAAAGAATACACAGTTGACTCGACGTAAGCACAGATACTGAATACTTAACAGGATGACCTTAATGTTCCCTTTACCAAAAAAAAACCAAACCCTAACACCGAAAACAAATGTACACATAGTGTGCTATAAGGTAAATCACCAGTTTATGGAAACTCGTAATGTCTTTTAAAGATTTCATGACTCTCCAGCTCAGCTGGTATTGCGACTCTGAAATTCCTGCCTCTGAGTCCAATCTTCCTTCACAGTAACACTATTTTTGACATGGCATATCACAGAATCACAGAATCAGGTTGGAAATGACCTCTGGGATCACTGAGTCCAACTTGTGACTGAACACCACCATGTCAACCAGACCATGGCACCAACTGCGACATTCAGTCTTTCCTTAAACACCTCTAGGGGTGGTGATTCCACCACCTCCCTGGGCGGTCCATTCCAATGTCTAATCACCCCTCCTGTTAAGAAATTCCTTCTAATGTCCAACCTAAACCTCCCCTGGAGCAGCCTAAGACTATATCTAGTACTTTAGATAATACTGACAGTGCTCAGTTATACACCTCGACATAATAATTTACTATGTAGAGCTCAACAATAAGAAGAGGCTTTTTGGACCAGATGGAGTACATGTGTTTAGTCTCTCACAAAGATGTTAAGACCAGAGGCCCTGTAAGAATTCCTATAAGAATGTAACTGGCTTTTTTAAACTTGTGAATATATTTTTGATATTCATTTCCACATGTCTTTTTAAGGGCTAGGTATGAGTGACAAAAACACACAAAAGAAGAGATGGAGGATAAGGGTAATGGCAAGAAGATGACATAACTACAATAAATAGAGAAACTAGACAGTCTTAAAGGTTTCAGATCACTGTATCATATAGAAGCAAATTTAAGTATGTGAACATAAACAGACTCCACTGACCTTCAGCCACCCATTATTACTCAACAATATCTAGAAGCCTTCCTGGTAAAAGAGCCTTTTAAAGAGGAAAGGAGTGTAGGAAAATATCTTCATATTGTATAAACAGATTACATAGGCAGAAGACACAACACTAATGCAAGTTTAAGGCAGCAGCACTGTGCTTGCTTTCAAAAATTTAACTTTGTATTTCCCATCTATCTGCAGACCTGAGGTGACACTTTGTTGCCAAAGCAGTGGTCGCACCAGACTGTTCCCTGGTCTACATGCTCACTAAATTGCACCCAAGACTGTTTGAGAAAGCTAAGTAAAAATTTTCCATTAAACTTTTTTAATTGCATTAAATATGTCAAGAGGAGCAAATGTGATGGATTTACTTGATCAAAACCAACATGAATTCTACAAACCCCAAGCTGACCCAGCTGATAAGAAGTCCTTGCACAGAACACAGCAGTCCACCCAACATCAACATGAATTTCTTTTTGGGCACAGTCTGACCCCTGCACACAATCAAAACAGAAGTCAAGTGGCTAGTAAGACAAATCTAGATTTCAGGCAGCAGTAGCAGAATGATGTCCTCATATTTTTTTAAGAATAATTTTTACTGTGTTTATTTAATTTGGGCTTTTTTTCAACAGGTCTGCCAGTTAGAACTTAGTCCCATTGCTCGAACTGAATCTATTCCTAGGACATACACCTCTTCCTCAGGCAATTACAGCATGGAAAGTAAAACCAAAGTCAGTTATCCAGATTTTTATCTTCTTAGTTACAAACACCTGGAAATTAGGAATTACAACATAATGGCGGGGCAGTAATAATTTTATGGTTATGTAGGGAGTGAAAATTACACTGTTTTGTGATCTACAACTTGGTATGTTCATTCGTAGAGCAGTGCTAAGATCTATTACGCTCAGAGATCAGTGCTAATACTCAAATCCAAAATCTTAAAACCCATAAAGATGAGAAACAAATATATTGAGCTCTCAAGCTCTAATCCTAGGGAGCCTTGAGACACCAGATCTAAAGTTCACCTTGTCAAACACGTCCACACACCCCATAAATCTCTATAGGGAAGTAATCCGAAGCCCAGTGAAATCAGTGGGCAAATTCTTTGTGCTACTTTCAGTGGGGTTTGAAGGGCTCCAAAAAACCCCAAAACTCAAGGAGAGCTACAGGAGAGCATCCAGAAAATCCTTTTCCAATGGTATAAATCATTAATCTATGACTCCTGAAGTTCCTGAGATACCAGTTTATGTCGAAATCAAAATGTAGGGTGAGAGGGAATAGGTACAGGGGTCAAGGGACAGCAAGTAGAATAATATGATTTCAAAACATAATCACGATTGGGGAAGAGTGACACAAATAGTGTCAGAGCTCATGAACTTTCCTAGAACTAGTAATCAGAGTGATATTTTAATGGCTGCTATATTTGTGGGGCAATAAAAGCATACAATTTTGTTGTGTTGCATAAATAACAGAACTGTTCACTCTCCCAAGTTCTCTGGTAATTCAAGCAGAAATAACTCAAAATTTTAACACTAGAAAAATTATGTGAATTAAGAAAACCAGATTTTACTAAGTTGCAGTGTTTCACGGTGCGTGCACGAAAGCTGTAAACCTGAGAAGACATACAGTAAGCATTTTCCAACAATATAGTTCTACGATTAAAGCAAAGGTCTTCTTGGAGTTGCAACACATCCTAAGTTGTGAAACAGGAGCAATTTGTTTAAGTGACAAATGAAAACAGCTTACCTAATCCTTTTAGAAGATCCTATCAATTAAGAAAATAAATGCAAAAGGTCTTCAAACGACAAAGCCCACCTTACAAACAGAATATGGGATTTTCATGAGATTTGTATTCAAACACAGCAGGAACTGTGGGAGTCTAAATAGAACTACCAAATTACACTGGCCTTTTTTCTACACAGATATCAATTTCAACAAGTTTTTAAGTGAGAATACTCACACCAGTTTAAGCCATAACTAGTTAGTCACATTTTACCATTTAGCATTCATAGAATCTTTTTTTTTTAAATCAGACTTACATTGTTTTTTCATCTCTTTAAGCTGATCCATAAAATACATATATTTTTCATTGCTTTTCAAATCTGAGTCACTGTTGTTGCTCTCAATTGCAGTTAATTTTTCTTGCACCAACTTTTCTAAATCTGGTATAATTTCTGGTTTTTCTCGTTTTACCTGTAAGAAACAAGAAATAGAATGTTATTCATTATGACACATTTTAATACAAAGCAAAAAACATCAAGTAAAAATTCATTAGCATAATCTCAGTTTCTTTTGACTACAGTTAGGCTTCCTGCTCTGAAGCCATAACCTCCAGGTAATTATTCATTTCAGTAAAAGTAACTCTGAAACACAGAGATTAAATTCTCAGTACCATTTAACTCAGTTTCTGGGTATTTCTCACACTAACAATAGGGAAAACCGAACCTTGCAGTCAAATTTACTTCCCTGAGTAGAGAAAGTAAACATGTTAACAACAACCAGCATGACACGGCATGAATGAAAACAAAGAATACAACTCTGTCCAGAAAGTGAGATGATTAAAAAGCAGTAAGAGTTTTCTTAAAACCTCCACTCTCTCACCATTTTGGAGTCAGCTTTACAGAAGCTTATAATCTACATGCATGATTAGTGTTATAACACCAGCAAAAGCAGTACAGAGGCTAATGTGAAAGGAAAGCACCCCAACTTATTTGTGCTGTGTGAACAAGAAGCATTATGCCACACAGCCAGGCAAAAATACAGTTTCTTGAAAAGTACTCATTTGCAGCAATTACATCTGGATTGATCTAAAGAATAAATATCTGTAAATAAAAGGGAGGTCATCACATAGGCAATATTAAGATATTCTAAGAATGGAAAAAGCACTTTGGGAACCCCCTAAAAACAGTGATTGGGGTTTTCCCTTCTGTTTCTCAAGCCAACATTAAATTCTAGGGAACTGTACCTCTGACAGGACTTCAAAAGTACTGGATTACACGTGGTGTGGACTGTGCTGAGCAATGATGGCCAGCAACAGCACAAAGTTGGAAAGAAGGTGGACATCTGTCAAAGCCTTAATGCTAAGCATCTTCTGAATCAGACAAAGGCCATTTCTATCCCAAAATTATGACAAAACAGGACAAACTGAAGAAAAAGGAGGTAAGCACCATTTCTGGTGAGCCACTCTTCTCCAACCACACACATTAAATTCTGCCCCTCACCATACCATGCTACTACTCATTGTGAAAGATGTGAAAAGAGGCTACTGAGAAAAAACTAGACCACTTCATCAAATCATTTACAGCTTTGAAAGTTTACAGAGATCTTGGAAATCCTACAGATATTTTATTTCAGGAGCCAAAGGAATAATAAATGTTGATGTAAAAATGGACTCTGAAGATACATAAAATGCTACAAGAAAACTTTACTTTCCCTTAATCAAAACAAAGCAATCCATAAAACTATTACTTCTTCCAGGAGTAGAGCCAGTTTGGCACATTTACTTTGGGTAGATACAAGTCACGGCAAGAAGAAAAATAAGAAAAAAATATGCACTGCCAGGTGATAGCATGCAGTTTTCAAAGGCACCTGGAGATAAAAAAATCACCAACCACAATGTCCAATCGTGAATGGGAACACCTTGGTACCAAAGGAGCACAGCGACTATGAAAGAGTAACAGCACATCATTAGGGATGTTCAGACTGCTGCATAAAGCCAAGCAGTAGCATAGAGTCCTTATTCTATGAAATCTGACAAAATGAGCAAAGGAAAACAGAACATTCTGTATCCAGTGGGGACAATTGTACACACTCAAATTAGTTGCCTGTGTCAGCATCATAGCAAACTGCTGCAACAGAGGGCCTTTCACAAACTCAACCAGAACTGTTCAATACTCAGCTGGAGGAGATACTTGGCCTACAGGGGTAAGCAAGCACAAGAAAACAGTTACTAAATCAAAATACATTTAAAATCCAAGACGTTATAGAAGAATGATTTGATCTAGACCACATATAGTGCAAATGTGGTCTAGATCTGCAACATCAGGTTGTTTTTACTGACATTCCAACATTTTCTCTTGAACATAAAAATAACATGTAGACACACTCACAAGCGTAGCCCAAACAACAATCCACCTCTAAGATCTGCCCTCATCATGAATGAGAGCACTAAGGCCAGATCCCATATGGAAGGTCCAGCTGTGTATACTAAAAGAGACCCTGCAGTGCTTCTAAGTTGCTGATACTGACATGAAGAGTAAAAGAAATTATGTGGACATTCATCACAGGCATCCATTGGTAGCAAAGACAGTGTCAATAATCTTTTCCTCTCCACAGGCACCACATTACACACTGACATAGTTACATCAGGCTCTTTTTATCTTTTTCTTGACTCATGGAAGATTTGAGTGCAGGTATGCATCAACATACCATCTTCAATCATACCCTCAGAGCGAAAGGTGAAAAGAAGGGCACAGCCAAGGTTAGTTCAGAATGGTGCTCTCTACTCCAGCTTCCAGAATTAAAAGACTTTACACATATGAGCAGAGAAAAGGCAGCAACTGCAACTTATAGTGCTATGCTAGCAAAAAGGACATATGTGTGAGAAACTGTGTTACACCACTCTGCACTGGTGAGGCCCCACCTCAAGGCCTGTGTGCAGCTTAGGGTGCCACAATGTAAGACAGATACAAATCTATTAGAAAGCAGCCAAGAGGAGGGCCACAAAGATGGTGAACAGTCTAGAGAAGCCATATGTGGAGTGGCTGAGGTCACTTTGTTTATTCAGCACAGAGGAGACTGAGGGGAGACCTCATTGCAGTCGGCAGATTCCTCATGAGGCGAAGCAGAAAGGCAGGCACTGCTCTTTGCTCTCTGGTGATCAGGGATAAGACCTGAGGGAATGGCATGAAGCTGTGTCAGAGGAGATTTAGGTTGGATAATAGTAAAAGGTTCTCCATGCAGAGGCTGGCCAGGCACTAGAACAGGCTCCCTGCAGCACCAAGCCTGTCTGAGTTCAAGAAGTGGAATTCTTGGGGTTGCCTTGTGCAGGCCCAGGAGCTGGACTTGATGATCCTTGTGTGTCCCTTCTACTTCAGGATACTCTGTGATTCCATGATTCTGTGATATGCAGCTTTGTCTGTTCCACTGTGGAGCTACAGAAATTTGCATATAGACATCTGTACCAACTTCAAGAAACCACTTATATAAAACCCTCCTTTACCTACATAAACTATAATCACACAGCTTGCTGCCACAGATCCATCAAAGTAACAGCTAGCATGCTATTTGCTAAAGGCAACATGAAAAATTTCACCAGCTATCAAGAGGAAAAAAGTCTTTCCCACCAGCTACAGTCACAACAGCAATACATTATATTGTGAGAACAGTCCAGCAACACAGCACGTATGACAAAGTCTCAGACAACCATCTAATACAGAAACCTAAAGAGTCAGGTGAGAGAGATGCTCAAAGAATGCCCTTTCCTGTAGTTGAACTTCTTTCATGTTTACAATTTAAATTCAGTTTCTGTTCACCTCCACATGATTGCTTTCATTAAAATGATTAGTAGAGACACCATTCCTGACCACACTCAATACTGTACCATCACGTATGCTATTACTGAAATGCCAGCCAGACCTTCTGGAAGGTCAACACATCACAGGTGAATAACAAGGCATGTCCACCCACTATAATAACAAGTAAATATGTTTGCTGTGCACAAGCAATTCCTCTTTGGTGCTGCATATCCTATTCCATGAAGAGGGTTGAGAATGGCCTGGCACAACAACATAAATGAAAACAAATGTAAGAAAATGTGCCATTAGTCCTAGATCCTCACAGTGGACAGAATTACAACATCTTATACACTGCATCAGCACAACACCCTTACAGGTACATCACAGTTTTCTTAGTTCTTGCCACCCACCCACTCCTACTCCATGGATTCCTGATGGATGTAGGAATGATGAGATCAGCGTAACAAAATGTATGAGGACAATACAGACGTAGGATATGGTTAAGGGACAGGGCAAAACTATTAGCATTCAGGGCAACAAGTTGGGGTCACGCTCCTTTTTTGTCCCAACAGCACGCCAGATAAACGCTTATCAGCAGACCTGAAGGTATTACCATGTTCAATTTCTCAGAAAAAGTTACTTCACATGGGAACCATGAAAGACATGTTAAGCAAACAACTGTTCATTTAGCAGCACTGTCAGCCAAAACCAGCATGGTAAGTAACACCTTGCAGTTATTAGTCAATCCATGGAGAGCTACATTGATTTTGAAATGGGGTGGAGGCATACACACCCTACAAGGCATCCTGGAAATTACATGTAACGATGAACTGGGAGTGTTCAGGACATATGGTAAAAAGAAGTATCAGTCACAACAGCTTGTTTACAGCAATAGAAAAAGCAAAAGCATCTGCTGTGACATCCCAGCAAAGAACCACAAGGGTATTTACATGGGATATCAGCAATAAGAGAACAGACATGTTACACACGATAATTAAGGATACTCCATACATGATCTCCTGACACTCCTGTTAGGAAAACCCATTTAGAAACACTAAAAAAAAATGTTTAGAAAAACACAGCTCGGGTTTACCTATCAAAACATTTATTTGCTCACGGTCACACATCACACCACCTGGTCACAGTGATATGTGCAAAGGGGTTTCTGTGTTTGATGGGCAACGCTTATGAAATGGGCCACTTCATGGCAGGTCTTTGGCTTCTGCCAGTATCTGTCTGTAGGGATAAGCTTTTTTATTGTACATTCTTCCACTGGGAGTGTGTCTATTCCATGCATAAACTGTTAAGACTACACCTCCAAAAATCAGGCTTTTTGAAAGGCCAGCCTGCACAGCCTATGGGAACAGTTAACTCAGGGTGTTTCAAGGAACAGTCTGGGAAATTTTTATTTCATCAATTACCGTAACCACCAAATCGGAAATAAATTATTCTGTCCCAGACCAATCTCAGAACCAGTAAGGTCAAAGGCACCATAGACTAAAACTGGACCAGTTTGCGGTATTATTCTACATACAGTAAGTGATCAGTGTCTAAAAAGGCACTAATTAGCATAACTCCGCATGTAGCACTGCAGCATTTAATAATTGTCCTGCCCAGTCCCAAAACACTTCACAAACATTAAAGAATTTAGCCTCAAACACCCATTGTGACACGTAC